GTTTAATATTATTTTCCTTACATTACAGAGTGCAGAAGAGGAATCCCTTTGGGTGGAAGATCACATCTGGTTTCACCAGTCAAGAGTCAGAGATGTTGAGTTGGTCACTGGACTGGACTTTTACTCTGGCAGTAGTCTACCAGTTCCAGAACTGCTGAAGATGAAGACCCGCCCAACAGCTGCCATTAAAAGAAAACAGTGACCAGTTAAATCAGAAGAAAACACAAGCATGCAGACCTTCTGTAGTCTCTAATGTAGGTTATGTCTTGTCTGCTGTACACTTAAAGCACTTAACCGAGTAATTCTATTTATTTACGTCTCAGTTTTATCATTTATTCAGTAATGCTTTATTTTCAGTATACTCTGTTTTTGTTATCTCTTTTTGTCTTTATGTCAAAGGAATTGATTAAAACAATGCCTTGAAAAGAAAACAATTAGCATTAATAGATTGATAAGGAATGAACATAAATCATTAGTATGGGCTGACAAGCCCCAACCAGAACATTTCTTACTCAACATTCCTGTGAAACAGTCATTATGTTGCTGTCAACTTTGATCTTCAACTTTGTCTTATGCATGGCTTTTTTTTCATCCTCCACCTGAAATGTGAATGATGTTTACTTTGTTCTCAAAATATCTTTTACAGGATTCATATGTTCCCATATTTTGATGTATTTGAGGCAATATCTTACTTGAGAAATATGCAATCAATAAACAAACTCCAAGCTAGACCGAAATATTGGACATAATGTAATGACCTCAGAACCTTGGACCCAATACTCAGGCAGACAGATCAGGACGATTTTCTAACCATTTTAAAGTACAGCGAGCGACTGGTCATCAGCAGGGCGGATAACCGGATTCTCTGCAGGAATAGAAAGCTTAGGTCAGTGAATAAAATGTCGGGCTGATGGCGACTAGGAGCAAAAGTCAGTGACCTGGTTGCTGTAAGAGGTAATTCTGATACCAGTGGAAGAGGTAAATCCGGGACGGACTGAGAGCAAGAAGAAGAGGAATCCTTGCTTGCCCATGCCCACTGAGCGATTTGCCCACGACGACCGACTGAATATCAAACAAGTTTCTCTCCCGACCTCACGACTCCTGATCTGGAAGTGGTCTTGAGAGGCTGATCGCCTCTAGTCCGATTGAAACATTTTTGCACAACTGGAAAATCGGCCTGAAAAGGGCAAAAAATCTTACAGTGTGTATCCAGCTTTACTCACAAAAAAGCTTGAAAAATCTGCCACCCATGGTAGGCATACAAACGCATAAATAGCAGAGGGAAACAGGTGGAAACGATAAGTGTTAATGAGCCTCAATGCCAATTAGACAGGTGAACGGGAGTAAATGAAAATGCCAACCATCACCACCTGACACATCATACTTTGGAGAAGCCGTGGAGAATGTTATGCTGATTGTATCGTCCTCCAGCATCTCTGATTTGGCACTGGATAAGTAACAGTTTTGGGAGACATTTCGTTGTAGGGCTATGCAGAGTTCATTAAGCTAACCACTACTGTAGGTACCCTGATAGCCGTCACGTACCAGGATGAGATCCTTAGATCCACTGTGAGACCATATGCTGGTGCACTGGGCCACAGATTTGTTCTGATGCAAGACAATACAAGTTGTCATGTGACTGAAGTGTCTGCTATTCCCACATGATGAAGACATCAATGTTATGGACTGGCCTCCCCATGACATAAATTCAGTCAGCACATCTTGGACATCATACCTCATTCCATTCACCAACCCCATGTTGCACTACAGTAGGTATAGGAATTGAGTGGTGCTTTCATTAAGGTCTGGAAGGAAATCCCTGACGTCATCAGGAGCAGGCTCAAGCATTGGAAGGTGGTCCACCAGGCAAGTGGAGACCATACACTTGTAGTCATTGTTATTCGAGCTGTACAACACTGAAAACAAGATCTATCCTTATTAAATATAAATAAATTACATCACTCCAAAAACCATGGTTACTGTAATGACATTCCAAAAACTTCTCAATGCTTGTTAATGGCTGTCATGGAAACATCAACGCTTACATAAACATAGGAATAAGGAGTGCTTTTCTTTTGATGTAATGCTGCCTTAAGGGGAAATGTCTCTGCTTTCATTCACCTGCTCATGTTGTTACTTGTAGGTACCCACAGGGGTTTCCATTTTTATATCTATTTCACACTGATTTAATCAATAAACACAATCGTGTCCTAATCAGGTGCAAACTTAAAGGGAATTATGTTTTTTTTTTTTTTTTTTTTACATTGGCCCCTTGATTTAATGTTATTACATCATGTTCTACTCACCCATAGGAGTTTTGTGTCATTTGGAGCTGTTCCAAAGATATTCGGTTAGGTTATATCCAAGTAACATCTTCCTATGGGCAAGTGACTTGAAGGCACAAACTAAACTGTTCGTAATTTATCATTTATGATACGCCAGCATTCATAACATGTAGGAAAATCATTGTCCCCCAGACATCCGCTGTTTAATTTTTTATATTTATATTTTTTTTAAACAAAGCAGTGTGTAAACTTTTAACTCTGTCCTTGCTGCCTTGCTTTTACCTGCTTCTTATAGGTCAGAAAATGTTAAAAATGTTCCATTTCACATCACTATATCTGGTTATGGTAGTAACAAAGTTTGTGTTGATTCTATATCTTTATTTTAAATTGCATCAAACATTAGAGGTTTTGCATAGAAAATATTTTCAAGACTTTGTTTTGTTTATTAGAAATTGTTTAAAGACACAAGCTAAGGGTGTTATTTGAAATGTAAATACTGAAGCTAAAACATTTTTGATAATGATTTTTGGCAAACTGTCCCAAAGAGCATTGAGGATTAATCTAAATTCTTAGTAAATACTGCACAAGGGAGCCAACTGTGATGACATTTATTTATAAATGTTTTATTTAATCATTATTTTAAAAGTCATTGTTATCATTAACAAGAATGAGTCAGAGGAGTTTTCCTCAGCAGGTTGTGAAACTGGTTGGCGAATCTCAATGATCACGTGCATGTAGAACAGGCAGTAAAAGTAAAGTGGTTTCTCCTTTTTGTTTGACATCACATCTTCCATCCCTTTCATCTGGACTTTTTGCTACTTCTCTCTGAAAAAAAGAAACATATACCCAAAACTTAGGAAAGTTGCAGAATTTATAGACCCAATATCAAATTCAATTTAGGGTTTTCAAAAATCCCCTAATTGAACTGCCACCTTAATCTGGAGAAGGTGTTTCAGTGCCAGTATACAATTTTCTCTTTTTATGTCTGCTTTTTTAAAGTTTAACAATAAAAAGGTTTAATTTGGATAAATAGATTAGGAAATTATGACTGACACCAAAATACACTCAATGATACTTCAACACACAGCTAAAAGTTGATATTTTTCCAGTTGAATGTTTTTGTTCTGTTTTTGCTACAAAAAAATGGCATAGTCCACAGTATTTTGTTCCATATCTGATGTGATGCATTCTGGAACAGGGACACTCCCTTTGGAAATGTATACAAACCCACTTCAGATATTTCAGAAAAAACACAGACCTTGTTAGTTACAGTTAACGTTTTGCCTGAAGAAAGTAACACATACAGATGAGTAATATTTACACATTTTTTACATGACAGACAGAATCCTGATGACAGAGCCCTATGGGAGGTACGCTCTATCTGAAACTGAACCACCCACCAGAGCAATACCAAAAGAAACTCCACTCTAGTTTAAGGAAACTCCTTCTTCTGATATTTAAAACTGGTATCACAAAATCAAGCAAAACCACTTAGTGAACATGTGAGGCTGTTTATCAAACACATATTCTCTTCAACAAATTCTTACTTTAATAAAAGGTTGTTTTTTTTAAGTTTTAGATTGTTTTAATCAAAATGCATCCCATTACGCATCCCCCGCATCCCTATAGAACAAACATTAATTCAGGGTCAACTTTCATAAATACTTAAATGTTTTTATTACTAAAAAAAATAAAATTAAATCATCAAACAGGAAAAATATCTACATTTTTAGAAAATATCTAAAATATGTATCTATATATATAGGTATTTATATCTATATATATATATATATATATATATATATATATATATATATATATATATATATATATATATATATATATATATATATATATATAGATATATAGATATATATATATCTATATATATATATATTAGTGTTGCGCCAATGCCATTTCTTGTAGGTACCCACAGGGGTATACCGCTACAAGTGGATGTGTGTGTGTATATATGAAGAACTGCATACTTCTTGGATGTAAAATATTTGCCAGCATGGCTTTGTCAAGCTGCTGCCTACCTTTGTGAAGCAGGAAAGGCTCTCAAAATGGCATCGGTGCCCATTTTGTAGATACCCGATACCGATACCACCGTTTTAGTGCTGGATCGGGGCCCTGCCCGATACTGGTATCAGTGCAACCCTAAATATATATGGTATATATATATATATATAATATATATATATGGTATATATATATATATATATATATATATATATATATATATATATATATATATATATATATATATATATATATATATATAGATATATAGATAGATAGATAGATAGATAGATAGAGAGAGAGAGAGAGAGAGAGAGAGAGAGAGAGAGAGAGAGAGAGAGAGAGAGAGAGAGAGATAATAAAACAATAATGGGTATAGAATAATAATGAGCCTAATAATAAATAAAGCAAGTCCCGAAAATAACTCATTGAGGGTAAGTCCTGGAAATTTACACACAAATATGTGGGTGGCGCCTGAGCATAAATATAAAGCAGACTGAGGGTATGCTCCTATCAACGATCTTCATCATGGTAGGTGGAGACTCTTGCCTCTCACTTCTGGTCTCACTTCTCGCTGGGATTTCTCCTGGTGCACACGTGCGACTATGTTTCCTGCTTGACTATTTCTTTTTAATGTCCTGATCTGTGTTCTGATTGTTTCCTTGCATTCTTTTTTTTTTTTTTTGTTGTTAATGTTATATTTATTTCCTTCTGTCCCTTTTTCCTTCTCTCCAGGATTCAAGCGTTTTAAGAAATCTTTTTGTTGTGCTGACTCTTGGACTCTGCCTGGCGATCAGCCCAGAGGCCACTCCCACCTATGAAGGCAGGGACCCGATCAGCGGCAGACCGGTGCAGTGTGACCGCTGCCCGCCGGGGACCTTCCTGCGCGCCACATGCTCCTCCGTTAAAAAGAGCGAGTGCTCTCCGTGTCCGCAGGGCTCCTTCACGGAGCTCTGGAACTACATCGGGAGATGTTTGCGCTGCGGAGTCTGCGGAAGGAACCAGGTGGTGAAGAAGGAGTGCACCGCAGACAGCGACTGTCAGTGCGAGTGCAGAGAAGGATACTTCTACGACCAGAGATATGAAATGTGTTACCAACACGCAGAGTGCAGACCCGGCCACGGAGTCCTGACCCAAGGTGAGACATTACACTCATTTCAGCTTCAGAACCACTGAGATTCTGATTAAGAATGACAGAAAAATTAACATCTGAACAAGCAAAAAATAACTGAATAATGTGCTGTCTGAGCGGTTCCACAGGGGCGCAGCTAGATAGGGGGCCAGGGGTGGCCATGGCCACCCTTAGCCAATCATTGACCATGGATTTCCCCCTTATACAGGTGCTGGTCATAAAATTAGAATATCATGAAAAAGTAGATTGATTTCAGTAATTCCATTTAAAAAGTGAAACTTGTATATTATATTCATACATTACATACAAACTCATATATTTCAGATGTTTATTTTGTTTAATTTTGATGATTACAAATGACAACAAATGGAAATCTCAAATTCATCATATCAGAAAATTAGAATATTGTGAAAAGGTTCAAAATTGATGGCCCCTGGTGCCACACTCTAATCAGCTAATTAACTCAAACCACCTGCAAAAGCCTTTAAATGGTCTTTCAGTCTAGTTCTATAGGCTACACAATCATGGGGAAGACTGCTGACTTGACAGTTGTCCAAAAGACGACCATCGACACCTTGCACAAGGAGGGCAAGACACAAAAGGTCATCGCTAAAGAGGCTGGCTGTTCACAGAGCTCAGTGTCCAAGCACATTAATAGAGAGGCGAAGGGAAGGAAAAGATGTGGTCGAAAAAAGTGTACAAGCAAGAGAGATAACCGCACCCTGGAGAGGATTGTGAAACAAAACCCATTCAAAAATGTGGGGGAGATTCACAAAGAGTGGACTGCAGCTGGAGTGAGTGCTTCAAGAACCACCACACACAGACGTATGAAAGACATGGGTTTCTGCTGTCGCATTCCTTGTGTCAAGCCACTCTTGAACCACAGACAGCGTCAGAAGCGTCTTGCCTGGGCTAAAGAGAAACAGGACTGGACTGCTGGTGAGTGGTCCAAAGTCATGTTCTCTGATGAAAGTAAATTTTGCATTTCCTTTGGAAATCAAGGTCCCAGAGTCTGGAGGAAAAGAAGAGAGGCACTTCATCCACGTTGCTTGAAGTCCAGTGTAAAGTTTCCACAGTCAGTGATGGTTTGGGGTGCCATGTCATCTGCTGGTGTTGGTCCATTGTGTTTTCTGAGGTCCAGGGTCAACGCAGCCACATACCAGGAAGTTTTAGAGCACTTCATGCTTCCTGCAGCTGACCAACTTTTTGGAGATGCAGATTTCATTTTCCAACAGGACTTGGCACCTGCACACAGTGCCAAAGCTACCAGTACCTGGTTGAAGGACCATGGTATCCCTGTTCTTAATTGGCCAGCAAACTCTCCTGACCTTAACCCCATAGAAAATCTATGGGGTATTGTGAAGAAGAAGATGCAATACACCAGACCCAACAATTCAGAAGAGCTAAAAGCCACTATTAGAGCAACCTGGGCTATCATAACACCTGAGCAGTGCCACAGACTGATCGACTCCATGCCACGCCGCATTGCTGCAGTAATACAGGCCAAAGGAGGCCCAACTAAATACTGAGTGCTGTACATGCTCATACTTTTCATGTTCATACTTTTCAGTTGGCCAACATTTCTATAAATCCTTTGTTTTTATTGGTCTTCAGTAATATTCTAATTTTCTGATATGATGAATTTGAGATTTTCATTTGTTGTCATTTGTAATCATCAAAATTAAACAAAATAAACATCTGAAATATATGACTTTGTATGTAATGTATGAATATAATATACAAGTTTCACTTTTTAAATGGAATTACTGAAATCAATCTACTTTTTCATGATATTCTAATTTTATGACCAGCACCTGTACAGATGGTTACAAAAGTTATACTCTCAAGTGGATAAATCAAAATATTTTAATTTTCAGTTAAATACTTTGAAAATCAAGATTTCTAGCCAATAGTTGTATTGCAAGCCAGGATTAAACCTTATTACCTTTGTAACATTCAAAAATATGGATATTTTGATGGCAAAAATTAATAACAAGAAATGCCAACTTGCCAGAAATATTAAGAAAAATAACAAAAGTGCTTCTATAAGAAATTCATGAAAAACATGAATGATAGTGAAAGAAACCCTTTTTTTTGTACAACATCACCTGTATTAATGCTGATACTGGCACTTGCATTTTTTAGTTTATAAACATAAATATCTAAATCAGCTTGTAACCTTTTTTTCTTAACTTGTTAATTTATATATATATTTTTCAATTTCTTTACAGTAGGTCATTTATCATTCAAGGGCTCGTCTAATTATAATGTACAGGCATGTAGTAGTATCTTTGCTGAATGGCTACATATAGATCTTGTGCTTCTAGAACCCACTGAGGGATGGAGTGGACTCCATTTTTAAGGGGGTTATAAAGGGTTAACAATAACTTGACAACATAAAGACTGTATTATGCACATCAATATACTAACAGTAAAGATGATGAGTACAGAATTCATGCTCTTTTGTTAAATAGATTTTGTGTTTTATGGTGTAAAGAGAAATCGATGCATCTCTGCAAGTCATCTAGGAGTCTTCAGTGAAATCATAGATAAATAACTATTTTAATAAAACTTTTTAAGAAAGCCCGGATATTTGAATATATTAGTCTATTTCTAAGCAAAGGTTGTGGGAAAGTATAGTTAGTGTTTATTTAGGAAAAGTGGATGTTTTGCTCGTTAATTTTCCTGTTGGAACAGTGTAGATTGACCCTGAGGTTTTGGTGCCTATCTACTTTCGGCCATCCCTCTGTGTACATTGGTTATTGCTTGGCCACCCTTATGAACATTTTCTGGCTACGCCTCTGCTTATATATTTTGGATTTAAAAATATTTATATAAGTTTACCATTTGTAAAGCTACAAACCATCATAATTGCACCATACTGGTGCAAAAAAAAGTAGCACCTATCTGTTGTCCTTTTTAGTTTTTCAACTCTCTAAATTGTGCCGCTATCCAGCAGTGTCTTAATTAGAGATTAACCAGTCAATACCTGGACTGGGCCTAGGGTATTCAATACTACTGTTGAATAAATTAAATCTAGATCTTGTCATGTGAGTGAAAGTAATTAGGCTTGCCATAATCATTGTTTTTTTTTCTAAAGGGGATAAATTAACACAGATTTAAAAACAGATTTAAAAGCACTTCAATGTCCTCTGCACTAAATGTTGAAATGAGATTTAAGATATAGCAGATGCCTAAAACTAGCTGCAGCTTGCTGTAACTTTATAGCTGTGCATGACATTGACAGAAGATGCACTGATTTAAGGTTTTAGAACAGTGCATCTGAATCTTAATTGATAGAATGGTTTGCAAAGTCAGAAAACATTCAATTATCAAAGAGGGCAGTTGTGTGCACATTTGAAACGATTTCAATCCTGTCACTTTGCAGGAATAAGGTCTTGGGTTCAAAATCTAGCATGGGCTTTATGAGTGGAGGAGTTTGCATTTTCACTCTGCATGCATTGGTTCAGTGAGTGTCTTAAGATTTCATGTGTTGTGAAGTAGCGCTAACTCAATTGAACTCATTCATAATTGTAAAATATAAAAGAAATCCAGTTGATAGACTAGATGAAGAAATGTTGAGGTTAATTGGTACAGCTTTACTGCCAGTGTGCTTCTTTTATAGAGGAAAGGAGCAGTAATGCTATGGAACTAAACCAGTGACAGCTTTATGGTGTACATTTTAGGACAGCCTTATTTCTGAAGAAAGCAGTTGCTAGTTCTCTGGAAAAAAGGTTTTCAGTTCTAAGGAAAAATTTCAGTTCTCAGGTTTTAGAAAAAATGTTAGAGGATCACTTCTAAGCAGGATGCATCGCAGGGTCCTGAGCATACCCCATTTCCCATGAGTCTGCTCGAACAGAAATGGTGGATGACAGTGGCCAAAACTGTAGTTAGAAAAATCTATATAATTCACTGTATAAGACCTAAAATAAACATTTAACGTGTTTTTAGGTGAGAATGTTCTTTTTAAACTCCAATATCTATCCATTTGGTGATTTCCCTAAAAACGGACAACTGTTTACCTGAGAACTGCGAATGTACTAAAATATACACCTACAGTTTTCTCGGACATTGAAAAAGACTTTTGGCACTGAAAAATGAAACCTCACAAAGTAAACACTGAAAATTCTGAAACTGAAATTGAAAGTTTAAGCATGAAAAAACATCATTGCAAATGAAAAAGTAAAACCTATCATGAAACACAAATTTTCTGCTGCAATTCATTTATTTTTTTTTACATTTAGTTGTTTAAAAAAAACCCGCAGGATAAAGAGTGTCATAAGTTTTTAGTTTTTTATTTTAATAAATTCCATGTTTGAATTTTTTGTTTTTCGATTATTTATTGGACAATCCCAATCCCTTTTCAAAAACAATTCTGTTATATATGTCCTATTTGATACTCATTGTCTATTCAGTTAAGGACATCTAGCTCAATAATGTTATATAATATATAGTTATGAGAAATTAATTATTCTTTCTTTTATTTTCCTGCAGGTACACCTGAGAAAAACACTGTGTGTTACACCTGCCCTCAAGGTACCTTCTCTGACATTTCCTCTGCGCATCAAAACTGCACAAATCACAAGAACTGCAGTGAGGCAGGACTGCAGTGTGTGCTGAAAGGCTCCACCTGGCATGACAGTGTGTGTGCAAACTGTGAGGAGCTCAAAGGTAAATGTTTGCATGTAAACAAAGTATTAAAGAAAAAAATGCATGATTACTCACCAGTTAGCATCAAGAAAAAGAAATATGAAGCTTTATGTGAAACTGACATTGTTTTTTAGGAATCAGTGGAGTCGATTTGTTGTTTAAGCCCTAATTAATTTTAACAATCTATCTTTTCAGATGAAACTGAGTACCTTAAAGAAATCATCCCATCATTCTTCATCTTCCACAAAATGAACATCAAACAACTTCGTCGGATTGTGCAGAAGCTCCCATCTAAGGATGGTAAAAAGCCAGGAGAGAGTTTGGAGCTAAGCTTCTCCAAACTTCATGCAAGAATCTGTGAATGGAAATCATCTGCCACAGCTGCACATATTCAGCAGCTGCCCAGCATTATAAGTAAAGTAGGAGAAACTACTATTGGAGGGAAACTACAAAACAAGTTAACCAATATTCAAACATTTCTGGAAGAGCGCTGTCATTCTAAAATGAAAAGCGATTGATGTTTAATTTTTAAACATAAAAAGTATAAAAAGAGTTAAACCTTGCTCATTCAAAAAAATGGTGGGCAAAACAATCGTCAATAAAAATAACTGTATTTTTAAATTGCACTTTTTAAAATTCAGATGATTCTGAACACAGCCGACTCACCTTTAGATAATTTCAGCATTGGCAGCTTATCGAGGTCATTATGATTTTTCTAAAAATGCAGTCATTTCATCATTAAGCCAAATACCCAGGACACATATTTTTTTTTAGAAATGGAGAGCTTCTTTTGATTTTTTTTTTATTAAACTGGTTATTTTTATTAGAAATATTATATTTGATCATAAAGTACAATAGGAATCTCCAGAATTACACGATAATGACACCCCTAAGTAATAATAATCTATTGTTTTATTAGTTGAGGCATACAGGTATAACGTCATTTATCACTATGGCTGAGTTTCTTCAAGCCTCCACATGCTCAGACATATTTCCTTAAGTTGCTGTACTAGAGGCAATTAGACGTTGCTACGATACCTCATTACATATAATAAAGCTGCTGATTTTTTTGCCCAGTTGTGTTTTGCTGCACCCCTAGATTATTACACTTTTTACAGCAACAGGTTTGTCAGCTCCACTTTCATCCTGAACAGACATCATCTTTACTTTGTTTGTGCTTAATGCAAAAGGCCAAAGCCTTATAGAAAATACTTATTTTATACTTATTTATTGCAATGCAAGATTTGAATTTCATTTTTCATGGATGTGGGAGAAAAAAAGGCTTATTGGGAACGGACTGTCCGGCCCCAGCATAATTTGTCTCTTATAATAGGTTGATGCATCGAGGTGGGGAGAAAGGGTTTTGTTTTGTTTTTTTCTTTGCAGTGCTGTGTGTGAATGATAAACATAGTAAAATGGATACAGATAGTAAAGGGTTTATGTTAAGCGTGACCAGGAGGAACAAGGGGTCTTGGCTGGAGCCCCGAATGTTACAAAACTTTGTAAAGGCTCTAAATGAGCACCATGTGCACCTGACTTCAAGGCGCTTTATGGAGATGTGTTTTTTTAACTCTTCTTTTAATGCTTTTTTATTGTTTCAAATTTGATGTTTGTTTTGCTGTTGTAATGTTTTGCTACAAAGTTTTATTCTGTAAATTTTCATCATCTGTTATTATCTTATGTATATAATATGATGGGAATCCTTCAGGAAGGTTTTTAACCTTGGGCATTAGCATTTCTTAAATTAATTTCCAGTAGGTTATAAAGTATAATTGTGTTTTGTTTCAATTACTGTCTTTGCTACAGAAATATTAACAAATATTTTTGTGTTTTGATAAAATTTTATTAAATTTTTCAAATGATCCTCATTTATGTGTACATGTCTTAATTTGTCGTGCTGCTGTAACAATCTACTTGCCTCCATGGGGAAGATAATCCAGTTTGAGAATGACAAAATAAAAATATTTAGTAGCCCACTTGTCATCACCCTCATTGACCGGACAATGCCTGAGTAGGGGAGGATTTAACATTAGGCAATACTGGGCAGTTTCCTAGGGCCACAAGTTAATAGGTGCCCCATAAAATAATACAACTATTCTTTATTTGTGCACATTAATTACGTTTTTGATTAAAAAAATGCTTTCACTAAAATGCCATCAGAGCATTTATAATAAGTGTGTCTAAGCCAACACCCCCACACCATTGGATCAGTCCATTTGCTACACGTGACTTTTCAGACCACTCTAGCACTTTGATTTAAAAAAAGCACCTGGCACCATATCTAGCGACTTTTTTCTGCTACTGGAGAATTTAGCATCAAATATAAAAGCACCGAACTCTGCTCTCCAGAATAAATGGATTCATAACCCCCACATTCTGCTCTCCTCTATTTTGTCCGCTGTCATGATTCATGCAGCTTTTATTTCATACAAATGAATAATGGAGAACAGAGAAGCAGATCAGGGCTTATCTACAGTGAAAAGAGGTGTATATGAGCAGCTGACTGATATCACCTCTTCGCCAGAGTGTTTGCCTGTTTTGGGTACTCTAGCCCATCTGAGCTTTTGCTGACTTTTCTCTGAACTTTTCAAGTTTATTCATGCTCATAGCCTTTTAGGTCTTGTTACTTTTTGGCAGGAAACCTTCAGATACAAATATAATTGGTCTAACAAACACATTGACTCTTGGTCAGTAACCTAACATTCATCTTGTCTTGGGGGTGGGGCGGTTATTTTGGGTTGCAGTTTGTGGGGTTAGTTTGTTTTCCTTTTCAGTTCCACTGTTTGTCCACCAGAGGGTGCCATCTGTTTACTCTGTCTTGGAGGGCTTGCCTACACCTTTAAACTCCCCACACCTGCAATGAATCATTACCAGAGGAGTATAACTTACTAACTTTAAAGTGTAAATTTATGGTCCATATCTCTGGAGCAATCTCTATACACTAAGAATGTTGACATAATTTTAGTAGGCAATATTTAGTGTTAAGTTATTCTGTTTTTAATGTATTAATTTGCTGCATTAAAGTTACATCACTCTGAATAGGGATCTTCTTTAGCAGTGAAACTACAGCTAGCCCTACTAGATGTAAACCTGCTAGACTCAATGATGTAGAACAAACATTCACAGTTTTTATTGTCCTTTTAAATTTGCATTAAAAAAATAACAAGACTAAGACTGGTAGGCTATTCGTATATTCGTAAATGGTAAAGTAGGACAGAACAAAAAGTTTTTCTTATACACTTTTCATCAGAACTGAAAGTGCCTGGAAAGAGGGAAGTCTGGCAGTTACTGCAGACACTGTTGCACATTTGATGCAACATGAAATGCAGGCGAGTAAGAAAATATATTTTCAAAATACATTTCAGGGTCTTTTAGATGCAGAGGTGAATTCAAAAGTCTGGTTAGACTGTATAGAAGCATAAATTCAAATAAATGCAAAAGCATTACCGGGTCACTTTGGCTGATTACTTATTGTAAATTTGAGAGCCAAGATAAATATGAATTGTATATTACAGGAAGAAAAAAAAATATATAATTTTTATTTGAAAGATTTTTTGATCATACATGGGCACCTTACTTCCCTGACTGGTTGTCTCACATGCCAACTACGGTTCTGCAACCGTCATCGCTCACCTAAAAAAAATCCTGATTAGGCGTTTGATGGTCGCAAACCTGCACAGACCTCAAGCGGAAGTGCGCAGACAAAAAGCAGCTGTGATTGGTCCTTGGTATGCCTTTACGGCTGTCTGTGTGGTCGTCTTTCTCGATTCGATACTGGGGCGCCCCATTTTTAAAAACCGAGGAACAACTGCAATGGACAACTACGACGAAAGGTTAATCAAGGAGTTTCGGAAGTACAACCACTTGTTCGATGCATCAGACAAATTATATAAAGATGCCAAGGTCTCTGCCAAAAAAAAGTTCTCATGACCATCAGCCGGAGTTCTCGCGAGTTCTCGAACAGGCTCCCCTTTGCGCTTTGGCAGGAAACTGCTGTACGTCCCTAGAAATTCCAGACCGACGGAGCAGAAGCATATCAGCAAAACTGGTTCGCGACCAGAACCAAGTGACAGTTGATGTGTGCGGTTGTAGAAGTCTAATCTGCCATTAAGGCTAAAGAGGTGCTGTACAATCGCACAGAGCTGCTCTGTACAGGTCTTCAGGACTCTGGGACTAACACCATCAGGACCCGGTGACTTATTAAAATCCAATCTCCCCTGTTGCCTCATCGGAAAGATGGAAGGAGCAGCACCATCTTCTGATTTGGCTAAGAACAAAGTCATAGAAGCAGGACAGTCAGTGACAGAGGAGGGCAGCATGTCCATATGACTGTGAGCAAGATAGAAGGATGCTGAGCTTGTTACTGAACTGAACCTATTCTTGAATGGATTCATTTCATTTTGCTCTTTCCAGACTTCCATCTGTCTGATCATCGTCCTCAAAGCCTGTGATCTTTATCCCTGACCACACATCTCTGACCAGCCTCTTCCTGTATGCCTTCTTTCTTTCATTACCGTAATTCCCTGTCTCCCTTCTTAGATGCTTCCTGTTCTTGATAAGCAGTTTCTTCAGACCTTTCGGGGCTTCTTCAGCTTCCTGTGTGCATTTTCTTGCAGTTATTTTTAATACAGGTTGTCTCTTAAGGGGTTTATACTGTGAGCACAGAAAAACATGAGATTGTGATCTCATTTCCAGGTCGCACTGAAAGGAGGCCATTGGGAAGACCCAGTACACCATGGAGAGACTATGTTTCTTGGCTGGACTGGGTTTCCTCCAGCAGAACTGGAGGTGTCCGGAGAGAGAGACTCTGCTGAGACAGCCGCCCCATGACAAGTCGCAGACGAGTAAGAAAATATACATTTTTAAAACAATTTCAGTCATTTTAAATGTGGTGAATTCAAATGTCCGGCTAGACTGCTGTTAGAATAATTGTATATAAATGTATCTGTGTAGTGTTATAATGCATAAAGCTGTGTGCTTTGTTCATGTGATCATAGCCACCTTTTCTAACGTATACTGTGATTTGTGGACTTGCTTTTGGGGAGATTGTGGTTGATTTACAAGCAGCACTAAACCGGCTGCACTATGGTCAACAGCTACAACAACTTAAACTTTGACTGAACCCTGAGATTTAGAGGACATGTTTACTGAGACTGCAAGCCTGATTTCAATAAATTGTGAGGAGGACACGGATAGATGCAAAAACATAACTAGGTTCACTGGCCTAACTTTCTGAAGGACTGGTGTGGACATGTCCCCACCAACTTTGGGCATGGAGGGGACAGCCCAATAGCCAATAATTTCTGCTTTTTCCCCCTTTTTTTCCCCTTGCCGCTCTCGAGTCCCACCTCTCGGTGTAACATCATCTGATCTGTTGCTTTGGGAAATAATATTATTTGGGGTTGCTATTCACTGCTTACAGAGTAGCAGTAGTTAAAAAAGCTGGGCCTCTCAAAAGACCAGATCACTCAGAGTTATAGATTAAAAGTAACACATATCTGTTGTTTTCTTATTGAACAGAGAATTAGACTGCAGAGCTTCTAGATATCTTGAAAATTATTTTATCCGGCATCATTATATTGGTAGACCAGAGGCGAAGCCAGAAAATTTTAATAAGGGTGGCCAGGAAATAACCAATGTACACTGAGGGCTGGCCAAAAGTAGATAGGCATCAGAACCTCAGGGTCAATCTACACTGTTGCAACAGGAAAATTAACGAGCAAAACATTCATATTTCTAAATAAAGACTAACTATACATTCCCACAGCCTTTGCTAACAAATAGAGGAATATATTAAAATATCCATTCTTTCTACATAAAAGGTATAGTGGATGGTTTGAGTTTTGGGCGAACATCTTTTCCATTGTCATTACTTACCTACTAGGGCCATCAGCCCCTACTCTTTAGAGCGTCCCCCCCCTAACTTTTATCACAAAGTTAAACCCTTGATTAGGTTACGTTGAATCATTTGATTACGTTAACAAAAATACTACACGTTAACATTCTGCAGATACAGGTAGTTGCTGTAAAGAGGAATTCCCCTAGAGTTAAAAATAAAACTCCGGCAAGTTAAATAGAGCCTGGAGCAGAGAATGGGACATCCTTCTATCTGTCAGGTTCATCTCCAACATCATTTCCAGGATGGTAGGTGGAGACAGTGCAGCTGAAGTGAGCTGAGCTGTCTCATGCACTGCAAAAACAATCCAGAAATAAGTAAAAAATGGCTTAAATTAAGTATATTTAGCCTTAATTTGAGCAGGTAAATAAGATGATTTGCCAATGGAATGAGTATTTTCACTCTTAAAATAAGATAGTTAGATAATATTTACTTGAAATAAGACGATAAAATAGTTTTTTCTTATTTTAAAAGGAAATTGTCTTGTTCCATTGGCAAAGTGTCTTACTTACCTCCTCAAATCAAGGAAAAACACACTTATTTTAAGAAAAAATAACTTATTGAGATTTATATTTTTTGCAGTGTGAAAAGCAATATTTTATGAAGCCAGGATTTCTTATTACTCTCATGACAAGCAAATGAAATTTCTTTGCAGAGTTATTTTAAGCTGTGATCCTTTGTGTTTTCCGTACTCCATCCAGGATTTCCTAACCAAGATATTTTTGGTGGTATTTCTTATCCTTGTCGTCACCCCGCTGACAGACAAAGACACCGACCTGATCTCCCACAGACCGGTGGGTTACCGATGCCCACCGGGGACCTTTCTGCAGGCCTCCGGCTCGTTCGTTACATGCGCGTCATGGAACGCTCAAGTCCTCAACAAAGGTAAATTCAAACTAAACTCCCAGAATACAAATTCACACCTTCATTACCAAAATTGTTGACATTTGCGGCCAATATGTTTCACCTACAGGTTCACCTGAGAAAAATCCAGTATGCCGCACCCTCTCCGGTATTTCTGCAGTTTACTGTTGCGCAGAGCGCAGCAGCTGCAGCGCAGCAGGGATGACGTTTACGCTGAAGAACTCGGCCTGGAATCACAGCGCAGACGGAGAGTTCAACGGTAAAGACATCTATTAAATTAGATTGGGCCAAATTCTACGGAGAGAATTCTGTTTCAAAATACGTTAGGGACCAGTGGCGGTTCTCGACCAAATGTTCCAGGGGGCCGGGGCCAAAGGTGTTGTTATGGGGGCACAGAAAAGCATGAAGCAAAAAAAAAAAAAAAAAAAAAAAAAACAGGGCAAGAGATTCAAATACATTAAGAGAGCTGCATGAAGTGAAATTTCTATTCAATTAAGTATAATTAAAATTATATGTCTTCCAACTAAAAATATTTATTTTTGACTGTTCAAATCCTTGAAATGTTCATTTAGATTATTAAAATCATAATAAAAAACCAAAAAAGCAACTCAAAAAGTTGTCGCTATATAAATATCAAAAAATCAAATATCGAATATTAGTCAAAATACATTCATAATTTAGGAATTTTAGATATTTCTAAATTTAAGTTTAAATGTATAGTATAAAATCAGAATTAGAACTCAAGAAAAATTTATAAATTCAGCTGTAAAAATTAAGAGGGTTTTTTTATTTGTTTTGAAAAAAAAAATATTTAGCAGATGAAAACTGGGATACTGTCTCAATACCACGAAAGCTATCACCTTATTGTTTTTGAAATAATTAATAAAACAGATTTAAAAAAAATATTACAATAGATTCAAAGGACCTATCAGTTACCATGTCTGTTCCAGCAAATATCATCATTAGAATTTCACTTAGTATTATGTGGTCAGTACAGGGGCCATAACAGGGTCCAGGACATGATCTACAGCGCCACTGGCCCCCGTCGGCCCCCGTCGACCCCCATCTAGAACTGTCCATGTTTGGGACTAATGCTGGATTTGTAATTTATAAATAACATTTTGTGCTTAACTTAAGGCAATTGTAAATTTTTGTTCAAACATAAATACAAATTCAATGCAATTAGTAATAGAAAATAGAAATACACACAGAAATATGATAATTAAAGACTCCAAAATCTTTCCAATGCATACAGACCATTAAATTCATGCAAATGAAACATATTAGACACACTGACAAAATGACAGTTACACACAAATCAGGTGACGAGTGCACAGCTTTTTTTGAGACACATTTCAGCTTTCAGATAGCTTCCAGATTTGTGAGTATACAGTGCGTCTAAATGGTGTTGGAAAGCTGGGTCATCACTTTTGCTAAGAGTCCAGTATTTTTCCACTTAACTTATTTCACTATATATTTTGGAAAATGGGATACCATACTTGGCACTGATAAGCACCCCTTATTTGCATACAGCTAAATCTACTTTTTACTTATTCACTGGTTTTGTATTACATGCACTTGCAAGCTGAGATGCTGCACCATTCAAATCTACATGTGGTACCACTTGACAACACCCTCTACGTGTGGCTATGTTTGGCCTGAATGTCTCTTTAGGCATCAGTGACCTTTAGACGTCACTATGTTCTGAAAGACATTGTAGTTAACCATTTAAATCTTAACCATTTTCTGAAAATTATATTTTAGGTCAGGATACTAAATGTAACCATGACATATCATCTCAAAACATCGGTTCAGCATTACTGTAATTAACAAAAAAATTAAGCTTTATTTTCACTTGTTTTGTATCAGTATTTACATCTGTTAACACTCTCATGCTTATCAGATCCTTTTCTTTAACTTTAGAAACTGACAAACAATCTACCAAACGTTGTTTGGGGAGTGTTTTAAATTTAAAATACAGCAGAGTTTTAACATTTTACATCTTGAACTCATATTTAAAAGAAACATACATTTCCTTAAGTGATTTCCAAAAGAGCCAAAAAAAAAACCCAGCAAATCGTATTAAAGCTGTGAGTGAACATTTCAAATTGTGTTAAAATATCTGTTCCTGTGAAAGACAAATTATTTTGCATGTCTGTTGAAGTGAATTAGGACTCATAAACAAGAGTGCAACAGCAAACTGCCCTTTGTCATTGGGGCAGTAAACTCCACACTGTAGAAGTGGCTCCAACAGATACTCGGAGAAAAATCTGAAGTCTTAGTCTGAAATAAAACACATAGAGGTTGGATGAACCTTTTTTTTTTTAAGTTTAGTTACTGTGGTATAGAGGATTATGTTATCAGTTTATACATGTTTTTTTTGACATCTGTTTGCATATCCAGTTTGGGCACTCTTCTTATGTCAGTTTTTCCCTCAGGCGCTCATAGCATTAAGTTCAGGCTTTATTCGTCAGACCTCTGGTTCACTCCACAACCTGCAGAAAAACTACACATGCACTCATGCACTGGACTTACTGAGGTCTATTGTTAGAAATATTTATGAGGAATTCAATGTGTAAAAACAAGGAACTTGCCTACCGTTGTGTGTACAGGGACACATTGTTTTTAAATTCAACCCGCTGAGTCCACCATTGGGGGAAAGTGCAAAGCATTGCATGCTTAGTATAAACATTATCTTGCAAACAGAGGTTGCATTTTAACTCTTTCTAAAAACAGCACAACATATTTAATGTGATTAACTGGTAAAGATACAATTCCAGTGATACTTTGATATTTATGAAAAAGAAAATAAGCAATACTAATGATATGGCTGGGAAATATATTGAGATTTTGAAATATTAACATTGTTTCAAAATACACATTTGTCATGATTTTACTAAAGTTTTCCACCAGAACACTAAATGGAGTCCTGACAAGATTTACCAAAGCCAAGTCCCACTGCCGTGTCTTTGTGTACTTTTAGATATGTGGCATAGTTAGGGCTGGGTATCATTCAAAAGTTTTTCTGTGCCGGTACCAATACCAATACCTTCACTTCGATACCGGTTCCTTAACGATATTTTTTTCGATACCAGTTTTATAATATCAATTCAAAGAAAAAGAAAATTACACAACATAATAAAGTACAAATCTTGAGTTTTATTTTAAGCTCTGATTTTTCCATTTACATTTTTTTTTTCAGTGAAGAAGAACAGTTGCAAACAAGTCAGTGTCTAATATTCACTGTTACATTGTGAGGACCTTTTTACTTAGCAGTTTTTCTTTAGAAAAAATTAACATGTCTGCTTTCTCAGGAGACAAACAAGTCCGTCGAATGGGGTTCCTACTGACAGCGCACCGCTGGTATGTTGGGGTCCGAGCGGCTCCAACAGAAATAATATTGAAAGGCAGGATGGTAATCTGAATGAACTGACTGCACTGATTAAGTTTTCAGGTGGATTTTCTCACTTAAAAAACATAATAAAACTACTTTATTCCCACTCATCACAGCAAATATAGCTGCCAGGCAAATAAAGGATAGAGTAGCTCAGCCCAACGCGCGTCAGAGCAACTTTTCGACAGCCAGAGCAGAAAAGCTGCTTCAGTCGCCCGTCAGAAACTGGTACAAGCAACAAAAAGGAAGCAGCAGACGCGATTTTGCTGCTCCTGCTGCGTCCGGTGTGATTCACTGCAGCGGCTGCGGTCCGCTCTTCTTGCAGTCAAACACCGAGCAACTTTCTGCTCTTAAATTGTTTCCGTGCACGATGTATTGCGTTGCGCACTATTGGCATCAGTCTTAATAAAGTGAAGCCACACTCTTGACCTGGGGGGCATTTTAAAGGGGTTCCACGACGCTAACAACCAGTTCACAGCAGATACACATGAACCCTGGCTGTAGGCGTGACCACCTATGTATTTTTCCTGGATGACGCAATCACGTTAAGTGTTACAGCCAATCACCGAAACTTGGCACCGAAAGACGACGCATGTTTTGATACTCTGTAAAACCGAAGCATTTCGGTCGGTACCATAAAAGAACTGATGTTCGGTACCCAGCCCTAGGCATAGTGGAGCTGATTACTGACTGTAAATTTGAAAGCCAAGATAAATATGAATTGTATATTACAGGAAGAAAAAAATGCATATAATTTTTATTTGAAAGATTTTTTGATCATACATGGCCTCCTGACTTCCCTGTTTGTCTCACATGCCAACTACTGTGTAATTTTTTTTAACCTATTTATAAGGTCAGTACATCTCTGCAGTAAGTGCAATAATCCAAGTCAAAAACTGTGTGATCTGTATAATTTTCACTCATTCATATGGTCAGTACATTTCTGCAGTGCGAGTGCAATAACCCAAGTCAACGAACTTGCTTTTTTGGACTACACTCTTTTTACATTGTCTGTCATATTTTTTTTCTTACAGTAAATGGCATCTTGCTTTAACTCTTTGACTCTATATTAGCTACTGGAACCAGATTTTCCCTGAAGGAGTAATCCCAAGGGATAAATAAAGTTGAATCTAAATCTAAGTCACAGTGTATTTCTCCTCCACCACCACCAGATGGCAATGCCCATTAATGTGTTGAGAAAGTCTTGGATGTTTAATGCGCAATGAATCTTTGAGAAGCCACCATGTAATCATATAGCTGTCAGGGGCTAAAGCTATTGGAGTCCTTGTTTTTAGACAGACAAACAAGTCAACTTTGCATTTAAACTGTAAATCTTGGTCCCATGTTTGTTGAGTAAGAGTGGTGCAGATTCCAAATTCTTTAAGATCCAATGTGAAGCGTCAGCAGGCCAATGATTTGGAGGAAAGAATGATGTCATCTGCATTTGTCCAGTTTGTTGGAATCTGAACTTGAAAGTAGCATTGAAAAGTTAGGGTTAGATATGTTTACAAAGATGCAGATTCATCAGTTCACCAGCTTTCTGTACTCAGCTTCTTGTCCATCTTTGATGCACCCAGTGACTGCAGAGTCATCAGAGTATTTATGCTTCCTGCAGAAATACTCAGATAACTTCTTAGTTGCTTTTTTCTTGTTAAGCAGTTTCTTCAGACATTTTGGGGCTTCTTTAGCTTCCTGTGACCATCTTCTTGCAGTTATAATGCAGCTTATCTCTTAAGGGGTTTATACACTGCAGCAGAGTGTTGGCCTAGTGGTTACAGCAGGGCGCTTGTGCTCTAAGAAGGATGCAAGTACCCGGTTCGATCTGACTTCCTGAGCAGCCCACTGCTCCCCAAGGGGACGGGTTAAATGCAGAGGTAAATTTCCCCATTGTTAGATCAATACAGTTCTATTATTATTGTTACAGGACTGTGTCTTGTACTGGAAATCGGAGGTGTACAGAGTAAAAAGGAATTATGAGAGCAGTCTATCCTGTGCTTCTCTCTGCTGCTTACTACTTGATTATACAGTTTGCCCCTCAGTTAAACAAACTGTGGTCTGTTTGTCAGGTAGTCTTTGATCCAGATGGTACTGGAACAATGAAGGAGGTCATACACATCAGTGTAACTGTCCAGACTTCCATCTGTCTGATCATCATCCTCCCTGACCACATATCTCTGATATTTGTTCCGCTTCAATTTGGTCCCCAGCCTCTTCCTGTAAGCCTCCTTGCTTTCATTAATTCCCTGTTTCCCTTCTTAGATGCTTCCTTTTCTTGTTAAGCAGTTTCTTCAGACCTTTCGGGGCTTCTTTAGCTTCCTGTGTCCATTTTCTTGCAGTTGTTTTTAATACAGGTTGTTTTGAGATTGTGATCTTATATCCAGGTCACACTGAGAAGAGGCCATTGGGAAGACCCAATACACCATGGAGGGACTATGTTTCTTGGCTGCCCAGGGTTTCCTACAGCAAAACTGGAGGTGTCCGGAGAGAGGGAAGTCTGGGAGTCTCTGCTGAGACTGCCGCCCCATGGACAAGTTGCCGACGAGTAAGAAAATATATATTTTTAATACAATTTCAGTCATTTTAGAGCAAAAAAAATCCGCAAGCAGAGCCTACGGGTTTGAAAGCGTAACTGAGACTCGAGCAGAGCGCGGCTTGTGCGCGAAGAGAAGGAGGGAAGCAAAGGAGAAAATATCTGTGCAAGAAGCATTAAATCTGAGAGAAGAAACAAAGATTTGAGAGAGAAGAGAAAATATTTGAGAGAGAGCGCATGTTTTGAGTGTGAGCATTACAAGTTTTGAGTGCAAGAAGATTAAATTCTTTTCTCAAATTGAAATTATGTGCTCTTGCATTATGGCAGGATAATTCTCCCATAGATGCTGGTGAAACCTGTGCAGCGTATCTGTCCAAAGTGATGCTCTGTTCAACCAGCATTCCAGCCGACTGGTTGTCAGAGAGCTGATTGGATCAGTCCGATAAGTTTCTCTGGGTTACTCTCTGGCAGTCACCTAGTTACCACTCAAAGCTGTGCTTCCTGTGAAATGGCAGAGGTTGAATCCTTGAGTAAATAACGAAAATATAGGACTAATTTTACAGCAGAATATACCAAAGTATATCCACGTCTAGTGAAGGTGAGGAACAGTGGCGGATCTAGACCAAATGTACCAGAGGGGCAGTTCTTATGGGGGCACAGAAAAGCATTAAATAAAAAAACAGGGCAAGAGATTCAAATATATTAAGAGAGCTGCATGAAGTGAAATTTATTTTCAGTTAGGTTCAATAGAAGTTCTATTTCTTATGAGGTCAATATAAATGTATAATTTTGGAATTATTATTTTATATATTACATATTTTTGACTTCGGTTAAAACTACCGTTTTCTATAAAATTTGAATTATTAATCAAGAAAAACTGTTAAATTCATCTGCCAGGTCAAGTGTCTCCCTGAAATGAGTTTTTGGAACTTGGGATGTCTGCAAAACCCTCTTTCCACTGGCCGCCAGGATCCAGGACATGAACCTTGGAATCAACATAACAGACAAGCTAACAGAAAAACAATTAATGATCTGACGCCAATTCTTCTTCTTATTGAGTTTTATTGGCGGTTGGCAAAAAACGTTAGGTGAGCATTACCGCCACCAACTGGTAAGGAGTGTAGACCACATGGCAGAAAAAAAAAAAACAAAAAACTATATCCTTTTATACAACCTAACCTGTTTCAAAAATTCAAATATAACCCGATATCCTCTGCTTCCTGATTCCTTCTGCAATAAATCCTGGTGCCAATTGCTGAACAGAATATAAACCAAAGGAAACAGGTGAGAGGAATAAATGATAATTGAGGCAGGGAGGGAAAACGACAGATGAAATAAATAACCAATTAAGGGAGAGCAAACAGGCCAGATCATGACAACTCTTGTTTTCTCAACAATAGGAAAGCATTCAATAAATATCTGTTTGAGCTCATTTTTGGAAAATATAAACTCTTTTGAAAGCCTTCGGGTTGAGTAGCTGTAGGTCCATCAGCCACTATCCTTAGAGCGCCCCCCCTAACTTTTATCACAAAGTTAAACCCTTGATTAGGTTACGTTGAATCATTTGATTACGTTAACAAAAATAATACACGTGAAAATTCTGCAGATTCATGTAGTTGCTGTAAAGAGGAATTCCCCTAGAGTTAAAAATAAAACTCCGGCAAGTTAAATAGAGCCTGGAGTAGAGAATGGGACATCCTTCTATCTGTCAGGTTAATCTCCAACATCATTTCCAGGATGGTAGGTGGAGGCAGTGCAGCTGAAGTGAGCTGCGCTCTCTCATGACAAGCAATATTTTATGAAGCCAGGATTTCTCATAACTCTTTTTATTTTAATTTAATCTGCATGTGCCTCAATTCTGTAATCAACTTACGCATTTGCTTTATCTAACTTTTTTTCCTCTCTTACAGGATTTTTTACCGCTCATATTAACGGAGCTGTGTATTCTTCTCAATGCGGGCCCCTGGCTGGTGAGCGGCGATGCTTCTGCGCTGACTTATGAAGGCAGGGACCCGATCAGCGGCAGAGCGGTGCAGTGTGACCGCTGCCCGCCGGGGACCTTTCTGCGCGCCACATGCTCCTCCGTTAAAAAGAGCGAGTGCTCTCCGTGTCCGCAGGGCTCCTTCACGGAGCTCTGGAACTACATCGGGAGATGTTTGCGCTGCGGAGTCTGCGGAAGGAACCAGGTGGTGAAGAAGGCGTGCACCGCAGACAGCGACTGTCAGTGCGAGTGCAAAGAAGGATACTTCTACGACCAGAGATATGAAACCTGCCTTCAACACAAAGAATGTCCCTCTGGATCTGGGGTTCTCGCCAAAGGTAAGACACTCCAAACTTTCTGAACAACGTTTTATACTTTCTTTATAATCATTTTTTGTTTATTTATATGCTTTAATTATGTGGTATGTTTTTTTTTTTTTTTTTTTTTTTTTTTATTGCAGGTACACCCGAGAAAGACACAGTGTGCAGTATCTGCTCTCCTGGCACCTTCTCCAACATTTCATCCACTGACCGAAGCTGCGCTCAGCACAGGAACTGCAGCGAAGCAGGGCTGGTGTTGGTACTGAAGGGCTCCACTTGGCATGATAATGTGTGCGCAAACTGCGGAGAGCTCAAAGGTAATGCGCTCTTTGAAGCAGAAATAGACAGTGATTATTTAAAGCTACAGTGTGTAATAATTACAGGCATATAAAGTCAGAAATTTAATATATTATACATAACTATGTTATTTATCATCACCTATGAGCTCAGCCTTTTAACCATAATATTTGCGTTGCCTTAGAATTCGTTATTTATAATTACATAGGAGCGGGTCTCGCAGCCATGGAGGCTGACATCTTTGCGCTACGGCAAGCGCAGAGGCAACAAACTAGCGATTGCGAGATCTCCCATGACGCTCAAAAATAACTACGGCAAGTTGAGAGAGATGAACTGAGACGGTACTGAACAGTAGATGGCAGTATTATGCCTGAGAAGCGTTTAGTCTGCCTGAAACCAAAGAAGAAGAAGAAGCAGGTATACTGCGCATCAGTAACAAGAAAGGTGAACAAGGCGGCAGGCGTGAGTGACTTTGCAAACTGTTTGGCCAAACATCAGACGAATGGAGGATCATGCCTACTCTGTATCACAACGAAAAACGGCGGACACCGAACCCCCGTCATCTAAGAAGCGGAAACACGACGAGAATAAACGCAAGCGTGACAAGAAACGACAAAAAACACGGATCAACATTGGCACGGCATTTACACGATGGAAGTCACTGATGGAGGAAAAAGGTTTTCAAAGTGACGCTCAAGTTGCCAGTTTTCTCTTGGACAGGTAATTAATCCTACACACACAATTGTCTAATATCACTGCAGTTTTTGGAGTACAGGATGCTCAGACCTGTCTAAAACAATAACATGCTGCGGCGTGATGATGCTGTTCCTCTCCAGTATACTTATTCAGCAACGTCCCTGACGTTTCATAGGTAATGATTCAGTAATTTTCTGTAAAATAATTTTCTGGATATATACCTCGGTTACTTCTCTCCGGCTCCTTTGGAGATCTTCAAGCGTTTCCTCCTCTGCTCTCACCCTGCTGGCACCCCTCTCTCGCCTGGCCCTAGCAGCACGGCCTCCCTGCCTTCGCCCTCGTCCTCTCCCTCTTCCTCGCGTTGTAACCCCCGTGCCACCAAAATGACTTGGACTCTGTAAACGGGGAATATATATTCTTCCAGCGAACACAATCTCGCTGTTAAACTAATGACTACCATTACTTCGTCTGTTTATATCACCATGCAAAGCAGCTCACCAAAACGTCACAACGATGTAGAAAAAATAACGGGTATATTTATTATCTTAAGTCTACATGAAATCTATACCCTACACAGACTAATGAAATACTATCTGTAAAATTATCTATGTAAACAAACCTCATCACTTGAGAGGGTAGGTGATGTGGACGTCGTGGAAGAAATTTTGTCCCGTAACGCTCGCCGTACTGTTGGGGGGGAGAAGCGGTGGGGGGGAGATGTTCATGTTGCTGCGGTCTGCAGTCTGACCGCTAGATGTCGCTGAAAATTACACACTGTAGCTTTAAAGCCTATAATAAGTGGTTTAAAAATAGTTCTCTTTCCTCTCAAACCCGGTTTGGTCGGTTCCTGTCAGCCTGTCTACTCTATCTAATTAGATGTTAGAGATTAAAGTAACTGATGACAGACAGAAAATCTGAGTCATTTCTGGAGAGCAGAGGAGCTAGCATCAGGGGCGGATTTAGGAAATTTGGGGCCCTAGGCAAAGACAGACATGGGGCCCTCTGGATTAAGGGCCCCAATAGACCAGGGCCATTTCTCAATATCAAGTGAGCGTTCTCATGTACTCCTGATACGTCATCAGTTCCGATTGTCGAGAACGCCAGACCGAGAACGCACCAAATCCCCGGATGTAATTCTCGCCCTGCCCTCTTTATGGAGTATGCATCAGAGCAGACTTGTCCCTTTTTGAGATTCACAGCTGTCCCAGCATGCACTGCGGCAGCAGCAGCTTTCAATGAAGCGCTCCATTGAAAGTTAAAAGTTCTCTTTCTGTTGCTGTTGTTCAATAAAAGTACGTTTTAAGATAATTTGAGGCGATAATATTATACTTTAAAGCATCTCTATCTGGTCCTTTTACCAATTTAATGTGTAATTTAAAAAAAAAGATTTCAGAAGTTAAGAGCACCGCGGCAACCAGCGGAGCTCCGAAGCTAGCGGCAGCCAGGGCCAACCGCAGCCCGTCTATAGTAGCCCTCTCTCGGCATAGTCTTGTGTGAAGGACCACTGGCTCTTATGGGGATTTTTTTTTTTTTTTGGCAAAATATTCATTTGATTTTTTTTATCTGACTGTCTTAATTATTATTCCACCACTAAATGAAAAAAGTCAGAATTTATTATTACATAGAGACTCTTAATAACGCAGCTTTAGATGAGCTGAGCGTGTGATGACATCACCACTACGCTTCTGTTCCAATTGACCCATATCTATGCTCTATGCTCGCGTTCTCTGTGTTCTTCCCAAGACCGGACTTGACGAGAACATGAGTATGGACTCATGATATGAGAAACGGCCCAGGGGGTCCACGACCCCTAGGGGGTTCTCAGAGGTACTGCATGGGGGTCACGAAAGTTCTGGTTGATTAGAATTTTTATATTCCTCCCCTGCAATTTTTTTTCACCAATTGAAATTTCATGTTAATCCGCATTAACATGAATTCAACACACTGTAGTAAACAGATAAATGGAGGCAGAAGATGTCTTTCAGTCATCAATGCACACATTCAGTTACACACAGGAGCTCTTTCAACCTGAGCACCGTTTCATTCACAACACCTGTCCCATCAACGAGGAATCGGAATCAGAAATACTTTAATAATCCCAGGAAGAAATTACTTTCGTTACATTACTCCATCTGTAAGAGAGTGACTATAGGACCAGTTTGTTAAAACACAATTTCATACAATATACATAATTAGGGGGTCCCCGCTCCATCTCGCCATCGGTTTGCGGGTCCTTGGACTGGAAAACGTTGAACACCCCTGGAATAGACAAATATTATTTACTAAATTTTAACTGCCCTTAATGATATTTTTATGATATCTGAAATGATGTTGCGTCTAGGGAAAATAACAGTTAAAGATATTTTTAATCACATTTTGGAGAGTCAAAATGCCTTTTGAGAGATCTCAAATGACATCATCTGATTTGTCATTTCAATTTTAAATATGATTATTTGCCTTAATAGTTCATACGAGAATACAAGGAAAACTTTTAATTTTACTTTGGATTTTTTTTTCTCGTTGATTATGTAAATATCAGATTATAGATTATTTAAATGTCTTTGCTCACTATAACGATTTACAGCTTTCCCAAACAATGATTTATGACTGCTGAATATGTTTATTCACTTTCTACCTCCTGAATGACCTGTAACTTCCTGTCTCCTCTCTGTAGATGGGGCAACGTATCTCAAAGAAATCATCCCAGCCTTTTTCATGCATCATCCAATGAAAATCCAACGGCTGCGTCGAATCGTGCAAAGGCTTCCATCTGAGGATGGCAAAAAGCAGGGAAGACCTTCGGAGCTCAGCTTCTCAAAACTACACTCACAAATCAGCAGTTGGGTTTCATCTGCCACCCCAGAGCAAATCCGGCAGCTTTCAGCATTTCTGCTTAAAACCAAGGCCATCCATGCTGGCGAAAAACTACAGAGAAAGTTGAATAGAATTGTCAGTAATCTATCAATGCAATGTGATGGAGGTAGATAGCTTTGGTGATAAGAAATATCTTCTTGATGTGTCCAATGTTTCACAGGCTATAAACACATTGGTGTCATATTAAATTCCCTCCTCATTGTCGGGACTTCTTTTTATGAAAACATTGAGTCAAAGTTAGATTAGGTTATTTGGCTCACAAACACAGGTTTATCTACCTCCCCTATTTATTCTTACCTAAGACAGATTCAGCACATTTCACTGTTATTTCTGAAGTATTATTGAGGTACCTGTCTATAGAATACATGTCAGGAGTGATGTATTAATTTATTTTAAATAAAACTGTTATCAGAAAAGCAATATCTGAAAACATTTTGCACTATAAATGAAGTTTAAGAAATAAAGTTCCTAAAACTAATAATTGTATTGCTCTTAAATGTTTCATCTTGGTCTTCTACCAAAACTTCAATACAACTATAAGTTTGAATATCAGCGACAATATGTGGCAAAAATGGCAATAACCATAAGACAATCCTTAATTTTTGTGTTGTTACATTTTGTATTTAAGTGTTCACACCTAGAAAGGAAAATAGAAAAAAGGCAGCAACAGATCTGGTTTTCCCAAAAAAATATGTTAGCTTTCTATCAATGTAAGGAAGCAACAAAAATAGTAAAAAAGAAAAAAAAAAAAACCTTTCAGCAAAATACACACACTGATACCTAGATTCCCATCTAGAAGACAGAGGACAAAATGTATTTTTTTAGTAAGCTTATATCCTTCTGTGTTTACAGCAAGATGCTGCATATCTTTTATGTCCTATAGAGGTTGTGATCTCTTCTGCCAGCATCTTCTAGGGAAACAAAATCAGAGCAAATTACTTAAAGATGCTAGGATGAAGAATAAAAAAAAAAGACTGGCTCCAGGAAGACCTCTACAGAAGATTGTTCCTACCTACAGCTATAAACATGTACAATCATTCGTTGGTAAAAAAACATGAGTTATGACAACGTTGCATTTGGGATCAAAAAAGTTGCATGTATTTATATCTATTAGAAAATGTACAATATGACACATAGCCTCAAGCTTCAGTCCATTTTTTATGTTAAACATGACAGAACAGCACAAAGTATTGCAGTATTATAAAGTGGTAAACTTCCGCTGCACAAACACATCCCTACTGCTAATCTCCGCAGCAGGGACAGATGTTGAGCAGGTGAAATATAAGTACCTTGGCGTGGCTCTAAACTCTAAGCTTCATTGCGCAAAAGGTGCATTTGTCGACCCGCCGCACTTATCCTCACACTTGGCTGTGTCTCTTGGCACTGCTCACTTTGGTTGCATATTTTAAAATTTGAATGCACTGTGGTTTCACGCATGATGCGTGGGAGGGAATTGCTTCATCGTCAATGACACAATACAAGTGAATATCTACGTTTGCCATTTGCTCTCTAGAAGCCATCAGTTGGTTTTCTAGATTTTAAAAACCTTTCTGAATTTGATCGAATTGTCTTTGTAAAGTTGCAGGAGATTATTTCTTGGAATCTGTGCTATATAAATAACTTGATCTTGAAGTCTCATATAGAATGTATAAAACAAAAACTAAATAAAAGTATTAAATTCTAAATCAAGCGCAACATGGTTTAGAGTTATCAAGACTCCAAATATTATATTATTAATTTATTGTTCCATATCTGACTTATTGTATAGAAGTATGGGTTAACAGGTATGAAACCAACACTAAACCTCAGCTTGTGATAAAAAAGAAAGCTTTTGGGATTTTATATAAAGTGAATGTTAGAGTACATACTAAAATGATATATGGTTTATTCCAATAAATATCTTAAAGATAAATAATGTGTGTGAATGGGTGAATGACTGAATGTGGCTCTATGGTCATGTCTCCTCCTTTCTCACCACGGTTCTTTGAAAATGGCCAAAGGTCGTAAGAGAAAAAGTGTGTTTAAGAAAAGAAAGGCTTAAGAAGAGGCAGATATATCCCAGAATGCTTTTTGCGCTGAGAGCTTTCCTCGCAAAGCGTTCTGGGATTTGCTGTCACAGCGGCCCACTGTTGATACTCAACAGCTTTGACTTATAAGGTGGTTCAGGCACCACGCAGTGAAGGAGAAGTTACGGGACCAGTGGAGCATGAAAGCAGTGATTATCTGTCCGAACGGTCCGTTAACTGAGTTTGCTATAAAGTCCACTCTATAGTCCCCACTCTATATAGTGATTGAGGGATTTGGGGGTTAGAGTGGATATTCGGTAACACTATAAGTTTGTATGAGATATGAGAACAGCAACTTTTAAACAGAGCATGCACAAGGAGAAATTACCTTTTTTTAAGTGGAGAGTATTTAAAAAATTCAAGAAAATTCCCAACAATACCTTTAAAAAGCGAAATTGCAAAAATTGGTTTGTCCTCAGGTCCTGCACGGTGCATCAGATCTGCTTCAGCTGATCAGCTGACAGTGCTTCAGATGTGCTTCAGCTGACATTGTGCAGACCTTTCTGCACAATGTCAGCAACAGCTTGCTAGTAACGGGGGCTTTAGTGCCACGCACACACATAATTTGACACAGAGACAACAAATAAAACAAGTGAACAAGAAAATGTGTAAATAAGCAGCAGTGTGTAAAAAGGGTTTGCAGCTCAAGAATGCAGTGCCCCAAAAAATCAAAGTTCGGTTTTGAAAAACAGAAAAGACATGAGAAAGAGGACAGAGAAAGGCGTCCAATACCATGACCCAGTTTTTCAAGAGAGGTTTGTTACCTGAACTGTTCAAATTACTAGTAGATTATTAACCTGTTGAGTAAAATAAAGTAGCCAAGTGCTGGCTACAAATACTTTGTCAATCCTCTTAATCACAATGATAACGCCTGTAACTATCGCAGAGGCCAAGCAGAAAGCTCACAGAGCTGAGAATTTATATTTAGAATCCAGACCAGGCAACAGGAAAAAGCCATAGTTTTCGGAAGGTTAACATTACCTAAGCATTAGTAAATGTTTAGCAGGAATTTACATTAAATAACTGTCTTTGTCCCTCCATCATGCAAACAGATGATCCACGAGGCAGCAGCACCCTTTCTCCAACCCCCCACCCTGGCCCAGTTACAGGCTCTAGCCAGAGTAGAAAAAGAAGTGGGAGGCCGCGTTGCACAACTGAGCAAGAAGATAAGTACATTAGAGTCTCTAGTTTGAGAAACAGACGCCTCACAGGTCCCCAACTGGCATCTACATTAAATAGTACCCGCAGTAGCCTGTTTGTGCTGTCCTCTGAAGTGAGTAGGACACACAATTGTAGGAAATCTTCGATTTTTAAGCAATTTCTCACATGGAATAGCCTTCATTTCTAAGAATAAGAATAGACTGTTGAGTTTCAGATTAAAGTTCTCTTTTTCTGGCCATTTTGAGAGTTTAATTGACCCCACGAATGTGGTGCAGAAAGTCAATCTGCTCAAAGGAAGGCCAGTTATGTAGCTTCTGTAACGAGCTAAACTGTTTTCAGATGTGTAAACATGATTGCACAAGGGTTTTCTAATCATCAATTAGCCTTCTGAGCCAATGAGCAAACACATTGTACCATTAGAACACTGGAGTGATAGTTGTTGGAAATGGGCCTCTATACACCTATGTAGATATTGCACCAAAAACCAGAATAGTCAGCTAGAATAGTCATTTACCATATTAGCAATGTATAGAGTGTATTTCTTTAAAGTTTAGACTAGTTTAAAGTTATCTCCATTGAAAAGTACTGTGGTTTTCCTTCAAAAATAAGGACATTTCAATGTGACCCCAAACTTTTGAACGGTAGTGTATATACAGTACATAAAAATTGAACCACATTTTTTTCTACAGTACAAAATAACTATAAAATTAAATGGAATCCAGTTGTTTTTACTGGATCCTGGACAGTTGAAGGAAAACATTGGGAAACCTCCTGCAGCCTGTATTAAAATCACTGTCAATATTAAAATATTTCTGTTAAATTTTTGTACATAGGCTGAATTATAGCCACTAAGGCACACCTGTGCACGATTCATGGTGTCTAATCAACATCTTGATATAGCAGACCTGTAAGGTGGGATGAATTATCTCAGCAAAAAACAACAGCTCAATTTTACAGATTTAGACTGGTTTGTGAACAATATTTGAGGGAAACGGTGATATTGTGTATGCAGAAAAGGTTTTACATCTTTGAGTTCATCTCATAAAAAACGGGACCAAAACCAAAAGTTTTGCGTTTATATTTTTGATGATTATAGTTTTAGATCATTGTACTGCATTACACAGATGCGACGCATTCTTTTAATCATTTTTTCCATTATGATGAGTTAATTTTTGTTATTAAATAAAGCTAAATTGAACCTATAGTAGAAAATCCTCCCCAGCCAAGTCTCTTACCTAGCAACCTAAGTAAAACTGTAACTTAGATATAACAAAGTTAGAATATGGTATAAATTAACCACCTTAAATGCCATCAGAAATCCTCATTTACTATCTAAACTAATGTTTGTCCTTTATTCTATATTCCCTAGACTAGCAAGGGGACGTAACAAGCAAACAAAAATTTCCTTAGCCAGGAAATTTAATCTTGCTTAACTGAGTTAATCTCTTCTTCAGTTTATTGGTGGGCCTTTTCAACCTTTTCCTCACATGTATGATTCAGCAGTGAGAGGTCATAGACATCACATTATTGTGATATCATCAAATTCAGACCACAGAGGAGTACTGCTTGCATGGCTGTTAGGAAAAGAGAAAAAGATTTCATTTCAAAGCCTCATGCTTAGATCTGAAAGGAAAACCGGTTACAAAACATGCTTTATATATATTTATAGGAAGCTCAGAAATTGTTAAACAACTGTAAGAACATCGTGTAAAGAATACATTGTTGTTTTAGCTTAGTCATATTCAATTCAGTTTTTCAATTCAGTTTATTTATATAGCCCCAAATTCACAACACATGTCATCTCAAGGCACTTTACAGTTCACCAGATCATACAGTCAAATTGATACAAAGTTTTCTACCTAAGGAAAACCAGTTGACTGCATCGACTCATTGACTCAAAGGCAATCCCTCACACTAAGCGTGCTTGTAGTGACAGTGGAGAGGAAAACTCCCTTTTAACA